GTTGGCCAAATTTATATCGTTTCTATCGTATATCGTTTATATCGCCCACCCCTAGTCCCAACCAACTTTTCATTCATTAAAACTGTACAAGCTCAGATCAAAATCTCAGGAAATAAACAGGAACTGGGATGTGCACTGCTGGATGAACGCTGGATGGAAAATATTAGCTCCACCACGAACAGGTGATAAATAAGTGCTTTCTCATTTTACTTCAGAGTGAGAAGCTCTGAAGCTGAACTTGGAGCTTCTGAGCAGCTCGAGGATGCTTTTCTGTGGATGCTTGTGTTTCAGAGAAACGGCGCCGCCTGTTAGTGGTCTGAACAGCTCTGACTAATACTTGAAACCGTGTGAGGTTGCTGTGAAAAACACCTGATGTTGTGAAAGAACTTGGTGAAACCCTGAGGAGAAATGAACGACGTCATAGCTGTCAGAAAGTGACAGACTGGAGACCAACAGTTGGGTTTTCTGAGGAAGGGTTCACTGACCCTGAAGCATCCTTCATGAGAGGAAATGAGAGGAGACCATCACGCTGTTCAGGACACGACCTTCTGACTTGAAACTTCAGTGGCAGGCTGTTCTATGTGATATACCTGGACACTTAATTAGGCACACCTTGCTGGTACCGGCTTGACCCCCTTTTCTCTTCACATCTACAATCATTCGCACAGATTCCACAAGGTGTTGCTTCTTCAGTGCACCTGTCCATTTCACCTCTCACAAACACGTGAAATGGACTGGTGGTTCACGAGAAGAACACGAGGTGAAGGACCTAAGATTAGTATTTGTAGTCCAAGTAATCCAAGTTAACAGGATCCGTTGTCACCTCAGTCTCGTTCTTCAGCACTAAGCTTCTAACTTCTTATTAAGTCCCTTTTACGGTTTTCCTTTTCAACACAGGAGAATGTTTGATTGAAACCCTGACAGGTGACTTTTTCTCATTAGTAACACCTGCTGTATGTGACAAATATAAAGGTCATAAGGTCATATGTTCTGACAAACAGCTGTAGTTTCAAGTAAAAACGAGGTGAGAGAGGCCTCAACTTGAACGTGATGCAATTTTTATTTCAAAGCACCGTTTATCCTCAGGCTACGTGAGCAGGACATCTGTAACTTACTGATTGATGAGGTTAAAATACTGAGGAGACACTACAGGAAACAACTTGAAGCTGAGTGTGGCGGGGCGTGGCCTGCGG